TGTTGAGTCCCCATTTGTTTTTGGACTAAAACTCCCAGAAGCCTTTGCAACCAGCTGTGATGTCCAGGATTTCTGGGAGGTGTGGCTCAAGAACGTCTGGGGACCCAAGGTTGGACATAGAAACATGACTGCCCGAAGAGGTTAAAGTTGGTGTATCTCTCCTTGAGACTTCTGAAACTATCATGGTCTGTCTCTCCCTGTTCAGACAATTCAATTTCCTTTACCCATGTATTCAGCCTTGCTGATCCTGCTCAACCAAGATGACCACCACTTCTTTTTTTTAGAAAGGCTCTTAATCTTGAATGCCTGTCTGGCAGACAAATACAATCCAATCCTTTCTGGTTTTGAGACTTTTAAGGACTGTTCAGTTAATTAAAAATAAATAAATGTTATTTTATTTGCTAAAGCCATTCATAGCAGTGGTCTGATGATGTTTTGAGACCCAGATGGGAAACCAAAAGATGCATATGGACTGTTATTAAACTGTTGGACCTTTTGCAACCTCGCATGTTGCCTTTAGTAGGTTTGTCTGGGAGGGACCTTTCTGGCCTTGGGTAAGTATCAATTTGTCCAGCAGTAGCTAATCATTCCTTCCCTGCCTCTGAACTCGAAGACAGCTCCGCCTCTCTGCTCAGTGTTTTCCTTCTCTTGAAAGCCAGTAGTCTGATGAAGTCAGTTGATAAAGCGGTCATGTTATTTTGCTGTTTGCTGTTCACTGTAAGTAAATGAAACCCTTTCCCCCTCTACTACTAATGTCTCAGAGTCTGGTACTGAGATTATGCCAGTTAATGAGGAAAAGGGTAGCCTGCTCTGGGAAATGTGAAGCTATTCTGCTCTGTGAATATCTACACTTCTGCTGTGCACCTAGAAAAATCCAATAAAAAAGTTTCAAAAGTCTGCAACGTAAACCATCATTTGGAAAAACAAATTCTTTAAAAAAAGTTTAATAAAAGGAAAGTTCTTTTTTCTCATTACCAACACACAAATCATGAAATTGAAAGGAGCTCACATTACTTTTGCATTCTCACATAACAGTTCTGCAACTCAGGCATACACACATCCCTCGCCTTTGGAACAGTCTCCCCTCAGAGATCTGTCTGGCTCCCTCGCTGGTTGTTTTTAAGAGTGAACTTAAGACCTGGCTCTTTAGGCAGGCTTTCCCTCCTGTCATCACTTGAATATTTTTGTTTTCCCCATCTTGAACTATATTACTATTGTTGTTTTTATTTTATTATATTGTTTTTATTCCATTTTTTAGTTAGCTGCCCAGAGTAGACTTCGGTCTAGATGGGCAGGGTATAAATTCAATAAATAAATACAGTGGTGCCTCGCTTAACGATGTTAATTGGTTCCCAAAAAACCATCGCTATGGGAAAACATCTCTAAGCGAAACACCATTTCCCATAGGAATGCACTGAAAACTGGATAATCCGTTCCAATGGGAACGGATTACCGTCCTTAAGCGAAAATTGCCATAGGAAACATCGCTAAGTGAAACATGATTCTTCCACTGGAATGCATTGAATAGGTTTCAATGCATTTCAATAGTTTTGACAGGTCCGTTTTCGCTATTTTAAGTGTGTCTTAAAATGTTCAAAAACTGTTTTATATGCTTGGAATTGTTAGTGCACCTTGTAAAACCTTTGCAAACTTAATTTGGCTTTGTTCTGACTCTTCATTAATTTTTGGTGAATTCCCCCCCCCCAATGGAATGCACTGAACTGTAGGTTTGACAGCTATGTGAAATTTCCCCATAGGAAACATCGCTAAACGGAGCGCAAGATCACTCCAAAAATCTCATCACTAAGCGAATACATCGTTAAATGAGGCAATTGCTAAGCGAGGCACCACTGTAGTTGCAAAAACCTCATTATCATCACCATTGCACTGTAAGATGACAGCTATTTGTGGGATTGGGTTCTGTAAAGTGGATTGAACCCCTTCACCACACCCAATGAAATTGGAATCCACATGATCTCCTATTAAGAGGTAACACTCAGCATAATTAAGAGTGAAAACTGAAATGCTCTTCGGGGGGGAAAAAATCACTTGCCAGAACAGTAACTGCTTCTTTATACTGGCCATAATTCTACCTTTAATTGTCAGAAAATCAATCTGGACAATCAGGCAAGCCACTCGTGTGTGAAATTTTCTTACTCACTTCTCTAATAGAGGTGGAAAAGAATTTATTTGGATCCAAGAATTTCAAGAAGCATAACACTGTTAGATCTCCCAAACCTCACTTGGGGTGGGGGTGGGGAAGAAGCATAATAAATGATCTTTGCCTCAAGAATTCACACATCTGTGAGAAACAAACCACTTCTCAAACAGTAGGAATGTTGGAAAACATGCATGGCTAAAATATGGCTTAACTTTAAAAAAAACCACACACATCAATAAAATTAATATATTTAATACCTGGGCTGTCCAACCTCCAATTCTGTGGGTGCAACTTTGTTGTATCTGATAGTTTGTACAGTACGAGACTTTCCATACTTGATTCTAATCTTTCCTTTCTTGATTCTAATAGCGGATAGTGAGCTGAAAGCTGCTGGTCGCTCCCAAAAACACCACACACATCAATAAAATTAATATATTTAATACCTGGGCTGTCCAACCTCCAATTCTGTGGGTGCAACTTTGTTGTATCTGATAGTTTGTACAGTACGAGACTTTCCATACTTGATTCTAATCTTTCCTTTCTTGATTCTAATAGCGGATAGTGAGCTGAAAGCTGCTGGTCGCTCCCCATGTGTCACGTCCATTAGGCAGGCTCTCTGGATCTTTCACAAGGAGAGCAGCCATTCAAGATTCCAAAATTTGTAGGGTTCTCCTGGTGGCGATGGAGCGATGGCTTTGGGAATTGAACTTTTTGTGTGTGTCCCCTCACAACATGGAGGAAATATGTGATGGGGCTCATTAGAACATAACCTTCAAACACTTTTATGGAAGTAATGGAATACCATTAACAGAGGTATGGTCTTCAAATCCCTAACAGTTTCCCTCTACTGAGCATTAGTTAGGCCTCATTCAGAGTACTGGGTCCAGTTCTGGACACCGGACTTTAAGAAAGATGCCAACAGACTGGTTTAGGTTCAGAGGAGGGTGACAAGAATCATCAGGGAGTTGGAAAACAAGCCCTATAAGGAAAGACTGAAAGAACCGGGCATATTTAGCTCTGAGGAATGAAGACAGAGGAGAGACAGCCATGTACACTGCACCACAAGTAGTAAGTGGATCGGCAAGTTCTGGGGCTGGGTGTCCAAAGGGCCCAGCCATCTGTGGTGGTGATATTTGTGTTTGTCTCCCCTGGTGAACAAATACAAATATCCCATCTCTATTCTTGATCATCTTGGAGGGCAGGACATGCATCAATGGGCTCAAGCTGAGTCTCAGGAAAATCTTCTAACGGTTAGAGCAGTATGATAACAGAACTAATGACCACAGGAAGTGGTGAGTGCTCCAATGTACAGTGGTGCCTCGCTTGACGACGTTAATTTGTTCCAGCGAAATCGCTGTAGAGTGAAAATGTCGTCAAACAGAATAAAAAAACCATTGAAATGCGTTGAAAACCATTCAGTGCGTTCCAATGAGCTGAATACCTGCTCGTCCAGCGAAGATCCTCCATAGGGCGGCCATTTTCCAGTGCCTGTCTTGCAAAAAATCAGTCCTAAAAACAGCGGGGGGCATTTTCTTCAGGCGGTGGCCATTTTGAAACATGATGATTAGCTGTTTGCTCATCGTCGTAAAATGAAAATCGGTTCCCGAAGCAGGGAACCGATCATTGTTAAATGAAAAAACCCCATTTAAACCATCACTTTGCGATCGCAAAAGCAGTCGCAAAAACCTAATCGTACAGCGATTTCGCAATTGTTTTGCGATGGCAAAAGCGATTGCAAAACCTAATCGTACAGCGATTTCCTTGTTAAGTGAGGCAATTGTTAAGCGAGGCACCACTGTAATTGTTTTGACTTTCTATTGTATTTTAAAATTGTAAGCCGCCCAGAGACCTTTGGGTAGTGTGGGCAGCATATAAGTTAAATAAATAAAAATAAAAATAAACATTCAAGAGAAAATTGGGCAACCATCGGTATAAGCATTCAAGAGAAAATTGGGCAAGCATTGGTCCGATCTGCTTTGACTTTGGTTCCTGCACTGAACAGGGGGTTGGACTTCATGGCCTTAGAGGCCGTGGGTTCCTGTATTCAGCAGGGGGTTGGACTTCATGGCCTTAGAGGCCCCTTCCAACTTCATTTCTCTGTCATTCTACAATCATTAGCTGCACCATCTGAAAAATGGTCAAGGATGCTAGTCACATTGTTTTATAATTAAAACAAAAACACAAAATCCTTCCATTGTACAAATGCAAGGGAAACAACCCAAGGCGTTGTTTTAGAATTAAAACAAATGAAGCATTTGAGAGAAAAGTGGATCAGGCAGATTTGTATCCAGCAGAAGACATTGCATGTCTAGCTTTTATGGGCTTGAATCTCTTTGTTGTCAGCAAAGGCTACAATCCTGTTTGTTTGTTTGTCATTAGGGTAATTCCGCATTGTGTGGATGATTGCCTTTGTACAGCAGTTGCACAAAAGTGACACTCACTCCCCCCTCATGAAAACACAAGCTACTCTACTTTTTTTTAACAGAACAATCTCCAGCTTGCCCAAAAACAAACCAGGGATCACTGGAGTAGTCATGGATTACTCCACCCTTGGAGCACTTACAACTCTGCAATTGCTAACAGGATTTGGGCCCATGTCTGTGGTTCTGAAGGGAAGGTGTTGCCATGTTTTCCTAACAGGCTTCTGCTCTTCAATAGCTACATGGAAGGCAAGGGCTTAGGTTTTAACGTTGTACGCTGCCCAGAAGCCACTGGCAATGGTGCGGCTAAAAAATATTGTAAATAAATAAATAAATAAATACCTTCATGCTGAGATTATCCATAGCTATTGAATATGGTGGGTGCTGATGATTGTGGGGGCTTTGGTTCGCAACAATACCTTCATGCCGAGATTATCCATAGCTATTGAATATGGCGGGTGCTGATGATTGTGGGGGCTTTGGTTCATTTTTGACAGTGGCTTATGAACATTTGCAAATTTCTTTATGACTGAGTTGAAATAGAATTGTTAACTGGGGCTGGTTACAGAGATCGCATAACCCCCTCTGTTACAGAAGCTCCACTAATGGCTGATTCAGTTCCAGGCACAATTCAAAGTGCTGGTTTTAACCTGCAAAGCCCTAAACAGCTTATTCCCAATCTATCTAAAGGACCCTATCTCCCTCTATGAGCCTGCCCATGGATTTAGATCACCAGGAAAGACCTTTCTCTTGGTCCTGCCACCTTCACAAGTATGGTGGGAACACAGGAGAGGAACTTCTCTGTTGCCGCTCCCAGACTTTGGAACTCTCTCCCACA